TGGAAACTGACTAGTCTATGGTGAAGGAGTTAAGCCAAAAATCAAGAATTACTATTTATTGAACTCAGTTTCTCTAGAAGGAATTCAGATATCTTTCCATATGCAAATTATGAGCACAAGTCTCCTCTAGGGATTACAGAATTGTTAGTGCTAGGCCTGATATAAGTCTGTTTAAACATGGGGGCAGATTTAAGAGTAGTTTTTCCTTAGACTTTTAATGATAAAAGCCAGATACTTGAACTTGGAATTTGCTAACCTTTAGGGCTAAAGGTCTTGAAAGAGAAGAGCCCGTGTTAATGGCTTAATGGAGAATAGTGGAGACATCTGACAAAGGACATTCATTTTAGTAGCACTTTAATGAAGTGAGAATTTGGCAGGAGGAGCTGCGAGGCTGACAAGTCAAAGGTTGGGGTGGTAATGGACTGGATGTCTCTTGAATTATTGGAACTTCACTCTGGATGATTTAGTAAAAGATATACTTAAGGCCATTATGAAGAGAGCACTCAAAAGTGTCATTATCTCAATCCCCTCAACTCCACTACTTCAATATGTACTTTTAGAAATAGTCACTTCCTCTCACTTATAGCTTTTCCCTTTACTACTTGCATAGACTATTACTATATTACCTTCCAAATTAGTATGCCACCTCCCATTGTTCCTTGCCATGATCCATCTTCAAATTCCACACAGATTTATGTTTCTAAAACAGAATTGCTTAAAATCATATATGGCTGATGAGAAGGCAAATTACCTCCACTTTAAGGGACAACTATGTGATAATATTTAATCAAAATTAAAAATCCACACATTACTTAACCAAGTAATTCCATTTTTAAGACTTTATAGCTATACTTATCTATGAAAAAATAATGTACAAAAATATCCTTTGCTGGGAAATAGACATTGAAAGGATTTAAATGATAGCAATCAGTAAAGGACTAGATAAATAAACTGGTTAATGCATGCAAGGGAATTAAGAAAATTATGAAAAAGAAAACATCTGTATTATAAAATGTACTTTTTGTTAAATTTATTTACATTGGGGTAAAATAAAGTGTAGAACAATAAATGGATAAAAGATTTATGGAAACAGTGAAGGAATACACAAAAAGTGTTCATAGCCATTATCTTCCAGATGGATTGAGGAGGAACAAGTTAGTGGGAGACTAACACTGATAACTTTTCACTTGTTCATAGATTTGAACTTAGTAGTATAATTCCTATTAAAGCACAATTACTAAAATTATGCAATAACTTTCTGTTTTCCCTTGGATAATCTTCAAAATCCTGTGTGTGTGTATAAATATATAACAACATATATGAATGTATATGTATATGATTAATATATATGTGTATATACAGAAAGATACTTCTGATACTATGGAGTTAGTATTATGTAATAATAGTTTTATGTAATAAAACATGTAATCCATGTACATCTACAATGCATAATTTATCTATGTCCAATAATAATTGTTATATAATTCTTATGATATTATGAAGATTTTTATTATAAACAAATATTATCTATCTATGAGATAGTGGTATGTAGAAATATTTCTGATTCCAATTCTCAAGGGAATAAAAGCAGTTTCTAATTTCCACTAACAGTGTTATTTTTAGTTTCCTACAAATCCATGTTGTTAGTGAGTTTGGTGGCCTTTGGTATAATTATTTTGGTATCATACCAAAGAGTTATTTAAAGTGGAAATTTTTTTCATTTTAAAAAATGACCCTTTATTGTATATATTATATGATTGATATTATTGAATTTAATAATTGATAATATTCTCAATACTTAATGTACACATTTTGTAAGTGTGGAAATTGAGACTTAGAAGCCAGGCACAGTGGCACATGCCTGTAATCCCAGTGATTTGGGAGGTGGGAGCAGGAAGAGTGGGAGTTCAAGACCAGCATCAGCAAATTGGCGAGGCCCAAAGCTACTTAGCAAGAACTTGCCTCAAAATAAAATGAAAAATAAAGGGCTGGGGATATGACTTAGCCTCCTAGGTTCAATTCCTAGTACTGGAAAAAAAATACTTGAGGAAAGTCAAATATTTATCCAACGTCACTTGATATGTATATGAAAGACTGAGGGTTCAAGACTGCACACAGGGGTTTATGGTCTTTCAAAAAGGAGACTCCTCTAGACATGATACAATGAGGGAACAGGAATAATACAGTGGAAAGTAAATTTCCTTAGGGAGAGGGTGTCATTTCAGTTTGACACAACTGTAGGAGTCTTTATGAGGAAAGTGACACTAAATAAATACAATATTGAGTTTTAATTTGAATAATAAGAACTCATTTTTGTAGGCCAAAAATTTCAAATATTGAAAATATCTTGTGGTTTAACTAAAATTTATTTGTGGCATTGCTTTTTACCAGGGCAAAATTTTAAAAATGGGGAGTTTTGATCTTTTCCCAGGATTTTCATTTTCAAGAGGACTAATGAATGGCAAAGAAACAAAGGAGAAGATCAGAAATATGAACAGATCTAAGTATGGGTATTTGGGGAAAAAAAGAACAAATCTTTATATTGAAGTTTAAGAATTACTTGTGCTGTATTCATTAATACAAAGGAAATTTAAATTAGTTTTTAATTATTTTAAAATTTTATCATGCTAAAGATAGTAAACTTGAGATCTATCTTCTTAATAAACTTGCAAGTTTTCAAATGCAACTTCCTAAATAAAAACTTTTCCTACATGGAGTTAGGTCCTAAATATAATAATAATGTATCTTTAGAAACTATTTTTGTAAACTATTTTTGTATTGTATTGTAGACTTACAAAAAATTCACAAACCAAGTGAATATTATATTGCTATGGATTTCATTTAACCACCAAAAATATCAAAAATAGAATATAAACTGAACCAAGATGGCCACTTGTGCCACTTCTTGCTCAGTTGGTTCCTTTACTGATTTCTAACACCATACATTAGTTTTTCTTGTTTTACATTGTTTTATAAATATATTTGTATAGTATATGTATGTATATGTATACATATACATATACATATATATACAATTACATACGTAATAATTGTACTTACACAATTATATAATTATAATTATATATACAACTTTATACATAATTATATATAATTTTTTGGTATGACATATTTCATTCCTCATTATTCTTTTAAGATTTATCAATATAGTTATATGTAGCAGGGACTTGTGAATTTTCATTAATAGTTGACATAACATATAAATATAGTATAATTTATTTGTTTATTATGAACATACATTTGAAAAACATCTGTTTTGAGCTTATTCATGATAATGCAATATGCATGAAAATACATGTCCTTTGATATATACAGGTAAGCATTTCTATATGAAATATGTGAATATACATATAACCGAGTATAGAATAGATATATTTAGTTTTATTAGATACTTTAAGTTTTCTATAGTTGTCTTTGTTCAATGTATGTTTCACAATCAGATTATGACAATTACAATTACTGTTAGTCCTCATTAATAACTGGTACTGTTGATATTTTGAATTGTAGTCATTCTGGTAATATATATATATATATATATATATATATATAGAGAGAGAGAGAGAGAGAGAGAGAGAGAGA